TGAAAGACTATTAAGTTCTTAGAAAAAGATTTAGCTAGTGTATTATATCAGTCTCTTGATCTCCGTATTTCTGGTATAATTGATTGCTAGGAATAAAAAATAATTAAAAAAAAGAGATAAAATTATTACAAAGCCTCGGAAGTATAATAATTGACAAATACTAAAACATGCAGCCTGTTCTCCCACTTGTTCTCTGTTCAGCTGTAAGGCAGGCCAAGTGATGCCTCCAGCAGAGGCAGAAGTCAAAGCATGTAGAAACAGGATTATTAGGGCTTTACATTGCCCAGATATTGCAGTAGCTCCATTTTTAATACTTCTTGTTCATAGCTAAAAAATTTAGGGAGCATTTGTGATGAAGAGGTTGGCTGATGTTAGGACAGGGGAGAAACGGTGATTCAAGAAAGAGTAAAGGACAATGAGGAGGGAAGAATGTAAATTAAAATCAACAGGTAGTGGGACTGAGCAATGGGAGTAGAAGGGTCATAGCTGGAGGGGTGACATCCAGACCCCACTGCATCCACCTTTGTGTATGTGAAGCCCTCGGCAGACACACAAGTCCCTTCATGGAGAACTGGTTTGGAGAATGATGCCAGGCCTTCCAAAAAGAGCTCACCAGGACTTGCTTTCCCTGACATCATTGTCTGCTGGGGTGATATCCATCACAAGTACACTGTGATGTTGACTAATGACTGTGATGGCACAGGTATGTCCTACCTGTCTGCTCTTATTAGATTTAGTATAAACGATGGGCAGTGACTGAACAGAAACAAGTGATAAGGGACAGTACACTAATGGCATTCTGACATTTTCACCTAAAAGTCACCAGGGTTTAAAATTCAGCCAGCATTGATAAAACATCCCAACAACTGGGTGGCAGCCTTTAGGAGCAGGTTGGAGGCTGTAGCACAGCGATTCTGAATATAAGGTTCCACATGCAAAATAAACTGTCCTACTGAGTTTTCTTGGCAGATCACATGGAAACAGGATTCCTTCTCCTCTGCTGGGCAGGTCCTGGCCTTGCTGACATGGAACTGCAGAAGAGGCATCTCCAGATTTATGGCTGGGACACACCTCAGGGCACCTGCAGGGAAATCTGCATCTTTGCTTTCTAAGGTACACCTGTGCTGGGGGAGGTATCAGTCTATTTTCCTTGCACTTGGTTCAATCCACTGACCTGACAGCCCATAGAGTGTGTGCTGCTTATTTTTAATAGATATTTTAAATATTACAGACATCCATTTCTACAGTCCAAAATTGATGAATCATCATTCTTTAAAACAAACTTTTCTTTTGCAATTTTGCATATCTATAGCAGATAAAAGCACTACAGAGAAGAGTGATTTCCTGAAGGAAGTGGTGTCAACATATTTTGAAAAAAAAGAGCCAAGCTGTTGGAATCTGTGTTGCATTACAGGGTAATGCAATATCTCTGAGCACTTCCTGTTTATCACAAGAGATACAGTTTTCACCACATCATAAAACTTTCAAACATTTGTTAATAAACACTCCTAGAGAAAAAATAATTTCCAAATATACTACCTCCGTGGCATCTGTCATTATAAACAAAAGAAGGTTTTCATTATATATATCAGAGGACTATCTGTGTGAGAGAAGCAGATTCTGAGGGCTTCATCCACCTCCTCCTGAAGGCCATGTTGCATCTCTCATTAGGTCATTGCACCCCAGCACATAATTCTTCTTATATGTAAACAGCAAGATGTTTGAATGAGCAAATGTAATTTTTACTATCATCATTTGTCATTTTTTTAAACAGTGTGGGGACACAGAGAACGAACATCTGCACAATTGCAGCACAGAGTCTTGTATGAAAATGACAAGAGTAAGATTTGCTTCTAACAGCAATAATCTGCCAGTGCTGAGGTACCCAATCAAACACACAAATTGTGCAGATGTTCACAGTTGTGCTGTCTCCCTGTGTAGCCTTTCTCACTTGACAGCTTTGTTGCCTCAATTAATTTTTCTGGATAAATTAACCTTGCTGGAAAAGGTAGAGCTAGGGAGCAGAAGGGTGCAGATTTTTCAACACCAGCAACCTTGATGTTGCAATTTGCACACCCAGCAGATAAAATCTTTGGCAAGGAAATGCAAATTATTGTGACTGATTCAGGATGTTCTTGTGATCATGGCTGGGGTTGGGGAGGGAATTCAAGGTTTCTGTCAATTCTACAGGGAATAAACATTTTGATAGGTACCTGTACAACAACAATACTGTACAGTGAGGCACAAGACAGGCTTGTGCCTCTTACAGCCTCACCACTGAGGAAGGCTTGTCAAGTTCAGAGCAAACTACAAGGCCTATCTGTTCAAGATGGGAACATCTGAACTGCAGTTTCATGTGATAAAATCCTGCTACACGGAAATTCAAGATGGGGAGTGACTACGTACAATTCTTACTCCTTTAAATCGCTATAACATTTAAAACTCTGCCACACAGACTGTTATCAGTTAGACCAGGGGAAAGATTGACCCTCAGAAAAAAGTTCCCTCCAGCTACCAGCACCGCATCTAGCAAAACTGAATTAATAATTAAGACATTTGTAGCTTTTTGGATTTTTAAAGTTTTAAAAATCGGAAAATTATCTGGCTCACATTATCTTTGTCTTACCTGATATATGGTGGTTATTATTGCAGATATGAAGAGCCTCATGATAAGAGATGCCTTTTGTAAGTGCAACACATCCATTGTAATCAGGCACTACATTTATCTTAACTGCATTACTGAGTCTCTGGGTTTTGTAAAAGTGACACAAAATTGTTTTGAGATCCAACAGCATCCTGCATCTCAATTAACTGTTCAATACGATGTCTCATTTCCCACTTATGTTAACAGCCAAACTGAATCCCTGGCCTGGAAATCCTACTGCTTTAAAAAAAAAGAAAAAGAACACCGTTCTTTTTGAAGGATATGGCAAAATATCTGCAGGATGATGCTCTGCATCCAATTTTACATGTACCATTAACGGCAGCAGGGTAAGATTAAGTGATTATTCTCTGCCAACAGTACGTGTGGGGGAGCAGACAACAGATGTGCAGCCACTTAGCCTATGCCTTGTGCACCAGACCGTGGTATGGAAATTCACGTGGATATTTAATTGTTATTCAACTACAAGTTGCTTGGATTTATGAGTCTGGGAAGCGCATATGCTGCAGTGAGAAATGAGTGTTTATTAGCACAGGAGCTGTGCTGGCCTTTCCTGCAGAGAGGCAAAGTACCCCTGTCTAGAAAAAATGGATTAAAAGGGGGCTGTGCACCACTCTCCTGTCCCACTTACCTTTGTGAAGTGCAGTTGGATAAATGCCAATATATGGATACATTTCCATCATGAACTCTGAACAGCTTTTACTGCTGCTTATCACAGGCAATAAAATGCAGCAGCTGTCCTTTTATCAAATCCCAATTTAGAGAAATGTATGTCTAAATAAGGGACATAAGCAAGATCCCACCTTCAGGGACAGCCACATGGATACATAAGAATAAATCCTTTAAGAGCTAGGATGGGACCATCATCTTGTATTCAAGAATTTTTCCAGTGCTTGTTGCAGCAACCTTCTGTGGTTACTCTGCGCACGTCCTCTTTCCTCCTTGGTTCGTCTTCCAGGACTCTTACCCACGCCAACATCTTCCTGGTCTCCTGCAGTTCCATTCAGTCCTTTCTCTGCTGTGTGGGTTGGTGCTGCTGGGTGACCTTCCTTCACCCATCCAGTCACCTTCCCTGGGTCAGGCCGTGTTCATCCTGTGCCCTTTGGAGGGAAGCCCCACCTAGGAGGTGAAGTGGGAGGTTAGGCATCAAATAGCAGTGAGGCATCCCCCCAAACACACCAAATCTTCAGCAAAAAATCTGATGTTCATACTTCTCTCACTCATTGCAGTTCCAGTCTCCATTCTTACAGCGTCCAATTCTTCTCATTTCCTGGGCTGGTATATTTTTTACTGAATTTATTTTCTTGCAGTTTACTGAGCTGCATGAGCTCATTAAAGAGGCAGACAAGCACCAGACCTGTACAATGAAAGCAGCAGGGCTGGCAGCAGAAGCATCATTTTGATACCAGCAGTCTTTTGGATTTGGCTCAGCTGCCAGGTGATAGCAGTCCATAAGACGAGTTTCAGCTGTAAAACATGGAGGTTTGACTGCACTGCTGAGAAGCCTTCAGACACTTCTCTTGCCTTTGCCATCCTTTGCTGCACTTTTCTCTGTTCTTGAAAAATGCAGGAAAAAGCAATCATGAGGGTAGTTTTATAGTGACTTCCTCACCACCTTCTTTCTGCTCGTCCTCTGCCTCTCCTGTTTCTACCACTGACCCTTCCCACAGTCTTTCTGCTGTAATTCTCTCTGCTCCTGGTGGCTTTGTCCTACCATCTCACAAGCATCTGCTGTCCTCTAGAAATGTCCTCTCGATCCAGGGTCTTTTTCCTTGCAAACACACTGCACAAGCCAGACAGACAAATGCAGGCCTTCTTTCTCAGGACAAGTGTTCAAAAAAAACCCAAAACTATTACACAATCATCAAGACATGCGCGTTACTCACCAAAACAATCCAGAGGATCCTATTTCTGCCCCTCAGCACTCCAGTAGCACCAGGGCCCTGAAGGCAGGACCCAGGAAGGACTGTGGGTGTACAAACCCAGCCCTGCAATGGAGGACTCTGCTTTGTGCAATGATCAGAAGCCATCCTGCTGTGGAGGACAGAAGTATCTTGCTGTGTTTGTTTTGTGATGTGGTCTGATCATTTATACTGTTGAATTAATAAAAATAACAAGATAGAAGCTTTCCAAACAGAATCCATTGCTAACCGTCATTCATTGTTGTTCCACACACATTAGGAAGTGCACATTATCTGGTAAATCAAGACAACAGAAACAAATAAATGCCTTTATATCGTAAGGGAAAAAAAAGTCTTTTAGAAATACTGTAGAAACAGTCACATCCTCTATTTCTGTCTTTTAGAGGAGGCAGGCTGCGTCTTATTATCATCAAGGAAGAAGTAAACAAATGTAATTTAATCAGTTCTGTCTTTCGTTTATTTGCATCAGCCAGAATAAAAGACAAAGGCAGAATGGAAAACAGCAGCTTTGTGCTAGAACTTTGAATGCACAAAATACTTCTTTCTCCAGCCGTCAAATATTAAAAAACGCTCTGCATACCAGTAATAATAAAAGTGTCAAACAATTGACCACAATGGGAATCACAATGCTTCATTAAAAGCTCTGAAGCAGAGTAGAAAAGCTTCCAGCCGCTTGCTAAACAGAACTAAATGCTCAAATACTTTCAAAAAGTGTCAGAAGATGCTTTCATCTCATCTAGTCAGGCAGATAAATATCTCCTTGCTTATTCAAGCCCTGTCTCTGAGCTTGTGCCACTTCACCAGTACCAGCTGCATGTGCCACTTGCTGTGCTGGGGCTGTGGCACCTCTCAGAACACCACAAGAGGTTAATGTCCTCCCCCGGGGATGAAGCTCCATTGCATGTGGCGCAGGGATTTAATCAGTAATTTTATATTTACATATGTAATTATGTATTATTTGGAGAACCTAACCTATTTGTTCAGCTGACAGGCGATGTTGTGATAAGGAATTTCAGCAGACAGGATATTTATAGCTCCTTTATCTCTATGTACAATCAGAGCAAAAACGTCAAACAATACCCCGAATGAAGGGTTGTTTCAGTTCAACTTTTCCCTATTGTTGCTTGTCCTTTTTTTTTCTTTTCTTCCTTCTGTCTGGTTACTGCCTAAAACTTGGCAGTGAGAGAAAAAAGGGAATGTGACTCACACTGACAACTTCATTTGCTGTAAGAGACCTCAGTAATTGCTCTAACCCACTTACAGGAAAACTACCCCTCCTCTTTCTCTCTTCCTCCACCCTTAGACAGACAGAGGCCACGCTTGTAACAGGAGCAGCCGGCTGCTCTCAGAGGTCATGCTATCACTTATGGAGTAACCTAGCCTTTTTCTTTTCAATTTTCTTCTTCTGGATTTCAAGTTAACCCCTCACAAGAATTTAGAGCAGCTTCAGTTCAAGGAGCATCTTCCTGATACGGACTTTTCATGAGTCTAATAACCAGGGTTTGCAAAGGGCTCCCAGCTCAAATGCAGCAGGGATGAGGTGGCTGCTCCCACAACACACAGGGCTTGGCAGCCATAATGGCAGCTCCAGGATAAAGCTGCCAAGAAGTCAAACAATTGTCACCTTTTTCTTTCCTTGTGGGATGGGGGCAGGGAATGGTAAATAGGAACAGGAGAAGAGTCAGCACAGTGCCGTGCAGCACTCCATCAAAATATATTTTCATTTTTACTTACATAATCAACACGAGAGCGGCATTCGTAGTGAGGTGGTGGAACAGATGGCAAAGACTTAGTTTCCAGCAAGACGTTAATTAACAACAAACTCAGGTTTCTGCTGGAGAAGGGAGTTTGTTCTGCTCTAGCAGGGTTAAGATGGGTGCTTACTACATAAGACAAAACTCAGTTTCCCCAGACAGAATTGTGATCTTTATATTTCTTTTTTTCCATTACATCTCTGTTGACTTTTCCAGGATACTCTCTAAAACACAGCAACATCTCAAATGCAAAGCCTTATTAAAAACCATTCCAAGTTTGGATCCTAGCAGTAGCTTGGGATTCTCTTTGCAAACACTTCTGACTGTTCTGTGGACATATAAACACAAAGAGGAAAGACAAGAAAAGTTAATGTGATTAAGTGAGAGAGCTTTGTGTAACTTGCACTTCAAGTGAAGCTTGTTTTACATACAGCAGCTTTTACAGATATGACTGAAATTAAAGCTTTCTTAGATGCATGCTTTGCATGAAGTTCTCTCTCTTCTTCCCTCTGGTCCACATGCTTGGAATTAGCATCTTCAGCACACTGATGCAGCTGAGTTGGAAAGAGCTATCCCAAGGGGACTGAAGCAGAAGGTAGCTATGCAAGACATTTATTCAAACCACAGGCAGAGAATACACCACCCAGCCACAATGAATAAGGAAACGGCACATGCAGCTGAAAAGTCTATCGTCTATTTTTCGTCTGACAAGCTGGCTCGACAGCCAGGCACACTGACCACCCCACAGACATCCAGCTCTTCCCTCCCTGTGCTGCAAGGTGACAGAGATTCCTTCTTCCTGCTTTGTATTCACCATCAGAGGCTCTCCAGAGTCACACCCCAGTCCTGCAGAGGCCTGTGGGCCACATTCCTCTGGGGATTACATCCATCCCCACCAGGGGAGAGGGAAGAGAGATGCAGGCCTGAAGGGATGGGCAAGCACGGGGAAGGGAGGAGCTGAAGGGAGCAGGGGAAGGAGTGAGCTACAGAAAACCTCCAAATGAACACAGGTAGGAGCTGGAAGACAGTGCTGCAGGAAAGGGAGAGGGGAAGCAGTCATACACTCTAACAATATTATATAAAATATGGCAGCAGGGCATCTAGATTTATCCGCTGTGGAGCTTGGAAATGAACCTATTATTCCCACCTCTCAACACTCATCCCTCTGCTGCCAGCATATCTCTTAACACCTGACAAGAAACGTCTCTGCCCATTCTAGTGACATGCACATCTAGAAAGGATGCCTTTCCATTACTCCCACTTTCTCCATGCAGGCAATAGATGGTTGCGGGTCTGTGCTGTAAAGTCACGCCTCTGCTCATTACTTAGAGGGAGTGAATGATATTATTGCAGAAGATTTTTTATTTTCTTTCAATGTGTGTATTAAAAACATAGTCGGGATGAGTTAAAAATTACATTACAAGAATACTGCAGTTATGAAGTCATAACACTAAAAAATGAGTGTATGCCTGAACCAAGAATGTCTCTTCCACCTTTCAGCAGCTACATTTAATTAAAAGTATCAGGTAGGCTCCCATGCCATATTGCTCTCAACCATGAAAAAGTGCATCCTGACATTGTTATATGGAGCCCAATTAACCTAAGATTTGGGCCTCCATCAGTTCATGTGGTGTTAAACCAGAAATGGGCCACAGAGAGTATTTTGCATACATCAGATGGCAGAGATTCTGCAGGATGATCTTCAGGAGAAGTGTCAGATATCACTGAAACTGTTCTTAGGAGGTGCAAAGTAGAGGAAAGAAAAGAACACAAAAAATTGTATTCTGCTTAGCCTGTCCTCCTTTTGCAGGGGTTAAGAGGGAGATGTGAGAATCAGCAGAACTGTTTCTGTACTTAGAGTTGCTTTTTTGGGAGGCAAGGACAAAAAAGCCTTTGCAGATATTACCTCTAAAAAAAAAAAACGTAATCAGCATAACAAGAAGTTAATTCTTCAAGCAAAACTAAAAAGAGAAGGACCAACAGACGCATAGACAAGTACTGACTTCAGTGGAGCTGCAGGGCTGAATTTGGCTCCAATTCTGTGAAGTACTTTCAAAGAAGGAGCATTCTGCATACAAATGAGCATTAAATAATTTGCATCATTAAGAGAGCTCTGAGCAGCTCATCTGGACTTTGAAAAAAGCTAAAGGAAATGTACACTGTTTGAATACCACTAAGGACAGTCATTAACGAGCATTAAGACATCTACAGTATTGACATTGAGCTGTAATAAGAGACCCAATCTCCTTCCCAGGTTATTTTCTTTATTGATTTGTAGAATTTCTCACACATGAGCTTTAGAGTGTGACAGAGCTCAGCAATTAATGTAGGAACACCCCTTAAAGGACTATACAATTACTTCTTTTTTATATTGCATCTTTTAATTTTGCTTTTCTAGAAATGTAGCCCTGTTTGGTATAGATACCACAGACAATTTCAACACCAAAGAAACAAAGAGGTAAATGGATTTACCCAGGATGACACACACAGTGTAACAGAAATAGCCAAATGGGTCTGGAAGTCCCGTTTCCCTGTCTATCCATTTCACTTGATCAGCTCTAAGCAGAGCTGCTGCAGCACTGGGATGAACTGTGGCCTCACACTGTATCTCAGATGCTTGGAAACATGTTTCTGAAGTAGCAGACAGAGCAGGACAGCGCAGAAGGTCAGGTGAAGAAATAAAGTTGTGCAAAGAACCAAAGGTACAATATAGTTGAAGGTACTCAAGTGCCAGAGCTGCAGGAGCTGAGGAGTGATGGAATACTGAAAGCTAAACATGCGCAGCAAAGTGCAAAGGGGGAGGCAGGGGCAGGCACCAGCCTACGGGCAATTGAAGGGGAGCTGGAAGGAATCTTTAATGAAGGCAGAAATCGTTCTGGGTGACTCAGAATATTGGTATTCACAAAGAGAATTGAGAACAGGCAAAAATAAATAAAGCCGAAAGCAAAACCCTAAGACCAAATCCCTCTCAGTAACCAGAACGCTGAAACAATCTGAACAACTAAACAACAGGTCCTTGTGAAAACCTCTCTCTGGGTACTTCCTGCACACCAGCCCCTCTCCACAGCTGGCGAGGGCTGCAAGCAGCTCCCACTGCCCCAGCCCAGGAGCTTTGCAGGCTGCTGTTGTGCTGACACCCTTTTTCTAGCAAAATGCAGCCCTGGTGGTCCTCCCTCCACACCCCCAGCCCTCGGCTTTCCTGTGACATCTCAACTAGTGCATTGTGTAACCTCACAAACTTCCCTTGAGCCCTGAGCAGCTCAGCATGGCTTTCATGAGCTGCCAGCTTTTGTACATGTCACAGGCACAAACGTCGGCCCCTGACAGACCCAAAGTCGCAGTAGTTTTATTTATGAGCGGATTTATGCTAGCCAACTTCCAGATCCTGCCACAATCAGCCAAAAATGTATGCAGGCAGCATTTAACTAAACCCCAAGTTTTACAATGAAGACTGAAAAACAGGTTAGTTTCAATTTTATTTTCTTTTTATACAAGCGTGATGACTTTTTGCCTTTCTTTTCCTAATTTTTCATTAAAGAGTTGTCAAAGAAGCTACAGTTATAAATTTTGGAACTGAGATCACTATGACTGAAGAACAGGAAAGACTTCCTGACAGTGAGATCCATTAGTCAATGGAGTGGCCTCCCAAAGGAGGCAAGCGGAGCACAAGAAGTGCTTTAGCAGAGCTAGTATTAAGTGCTCCAAGGGATGCAGCCAGCTCCAGAGGATTGCCATGAGCCATGGCCTTCAGCACAGCAGGACTCCTGCCATTAGCCTGCTAATGCACATCCTGGCCTGGCCAACTGCTATTGGGAATAGCTCACTGACTTAAAATTTCATTAACAAGAAAATATTAGAAGGCAATTTTCTAATGGCAGGGGCATGCAACGTGTCTTCCCATTACAAAAGGTTATTACTTATTAGGTTATTAGTAGGGAGAAGAAACCAACAGTTGTCATTAGTATTTGTATTAGGGTTTATTCACTAACTTTTCCTTAAACTACCTCAAACTAAAAACCACCACACATTGCTTGGATCCCCTCTATTTTACCCTGTAGAAAACAGATATAGAAAACCCAGCAGATGCCAATCTTTTGCCAGCATTACCAAAGAAATAATAAAGTAAAAGCCACCAGTTACAAAGGAGCTTAAGACAGAACACAGATCCATAATCTCTTTACCTTAGAAAGCAAGCAAAACCAAGGCAAAAATTGAAATGCTACAATTAAGGCAAAAACTAGCCTTGTAAATTTTTCCAGGAGGAAAAACATAATTGGGGAGGTGTGTGGGGGGGAAGATTAAACTATTTTTCAAAGATTTAGCATCAGTACAAAACTGAGCACTTGAAATGCCTTCCTTATAATTTCCTGGTTAATATCACTGCACTGTGCAGCAGGAACATTGTTCCAGTGGTTCAGCTGGTAATTTCTAAATACACTGTATTTAGACTTTAAATGCAACATTAATACTGAAAGTCTGGGGAGTCTGATCTTCACATTAGTGTCCTGATCCATCAGGACACTAATAGTTGTACAGGCAACCAGTGTTTAATCTGTAGTAAGAGGAAGGGCTGTCCATGTATGATTTGATACTTCTAACATTTTGAAGAGATGGAAATTCATTGGAGAGTGGGACAGAGAGAAGGGCAGAATTACTCTGTTTTTAAAAGCAGACTCACCAGTGCAACACCAAAGCCTCCTGGCACTGTTGAATTCGACCTTTGCCTCAACAGCAACATTTCAGTTCTTCTGAAAGATATGAGGCTTCAGGTGACTGATATGATAGAAAAGAGGAATTGGCAGAGTCATTTCAGTCCTGATTCATTCTCCCATCTCAAGTTCTTCATAGCAGGGGTTCAACAGGCTGGAACAGCTCCAGGGAGTCTTTTGAGAGCCAGCACTAAGGACACGGTACCTTTAAAGACCAACGACCTTCAGCCAGTTAAGTCTGTCAGGGAAAACTCTTGACGTTCATCCACACTTCAACTCATGCCGGTCAGTCCAGCTGCTGGAACAGTTGTGTGGAATTAGCTGCATCAGTAGAAAACAATTGAGTGAAATATCTGATGTCAGTGGCCCAACTCGCATTACCTGCACCCATCTGTAACCCAACAATTAGATCCATCGTTACCAGCTTGGCTTAATTATAACTTTGAAACTTCTCCAAACACAGACTTTGCTCAAGATTTTAAATGACTATAATTAATTATACAGAAAGGCTGAAGTGTCTTCTTATCCATCGTTTAACTTTTTTGTCCTTTCCCCACACTGCCACCAGAACTTGGTTTCATAAACGAACTGGGCTGTCAACTGAAAGAAAGGTATCTCCTGAAGCCCGAAAAACACACAGAGAAGTACCTTTTATGTCTTATATAAAGCGAAACAAGGCTTCAGAGTTTTTTTTAATCTCAACTAAGAGATGCAAAAAAAGAATATTATTCTAACCTATACTTGTTTAGTCCCACTCTTTACATGAAAGATTTATTTCTTGCCTACCATTTAAAAGGCTTTTTGCACTCTCCCCAAATTACTGCTGCTGTCCATTATCAGAGATCTGATATTGAGCAGCTGGGCCCCAACCTGAACCAGCTACTTGGATTTTAACCAGTAAAAAGCAAATCACAGAATTAGTGCCAGAAACACTGCAACTTCTTAAAAGACATGTGGAAGGAAGGATTATATTATGCAAAGAAACGTTTCCCACTCAGCTTTCCAGTGTCCACCCGCGAGATGAAAATATTAAGGGAATGACACAATATGCAGAGGGCTCTTCTGCGGAGTCTGTGGCCATGGCCAAAATCCCGCACCCTTTCCCACCGCTTTTTGGTTCTCTCCTCTGGCCAAAGGAAGGCGGGAGCCCTCTAGGGGTGGCACACGGAGCCCCGGAGGAACATTCAGCACCTGCAAAACCATTTGCCTTTTCCATGCCGTGCCCCTCCTGCCTTACCTTGAGACAGAAGCAGCGTCCTGGCATGTGCAAGGGCTCAGGAACAGAAGGTCTACGCAGAAAATCAGGCTGGGTACAAGGAAGTCACAGGCTTTTCCTGGAAGTGCCTACTCCACAGCTTGGAATATGATGTGGGAAGTCTCTTTTCTATCGCTCATGAAGCCTTTTCCAGGGAAAACAGAAAATCTCCAGACTGAAGTGCTGGAGCTACTCTGGCTCAGCACAACATAGCTAGAATTTTTTCTTTTAGGCTATGCAAAAGACTTGGTTTTGCCTTACTGTATGCCTCAAGCACACAGTGAACTCTTGTATAAAATGAGCAGGTTTATCCTTGTCAAGGCATGTTCAAAATAGTTCTCTCCAAAAGCTACTTCTGTTTAAAGGCTAGATAACAGCTGCAGCATTTAAACATTTAAATATTTTCTCATTCTAATGAGAACTTAAGATTCTTTCCAAATAGCTCAACATAACAACATGAGAACTGGCAAACCCAAACTTCAAAACATTTTGACTCCAGTAAAATAAAACCCCAACAAACCAAAACACAAGTATCAAGAAGCATCTAACAAGATATTAAGAATTTACTGTAGTGCAACAGGTAACAGATTTTGTTAGATATCCAAACCAGAAAAGTGGAAGAACAGCTTAACACTTCAGAAAAAAATCCAAGTTTGTTTGTGTTTGGTTTTGGTTTTTTTTATATAAGGGATATTGACTGTAAGACACATGGACAGTTATATGCGCAAAACTGCACTATCAGTTTGGTGAAACAGGTAAATACCCATTACAGTCACTTACAAGCAACTTTCTGCATGACATATTCAAGGTTATGCTTGATTTCTTAAAAAAGAAAAAAAAAAAAAAAAAAGAGACAGTAAAATGAAAGCCCGTAATCTACATTAGTGCTACCTGAATAGCAAACCTGACCTAGATGCAGAAAGTGTTTTAGCTGGCCCTCACCAAAGACCAGAGACACGTGAAGTCTGCATTACTAGAGGAGAGTCCATATTTCTAAAAGTTCTCCTAGTCCCTGAAGAAGCACTTTGCTCACTCCATTTCCCAGGTAGAAAGGACAGGCATTTCCAGGCTGTTGGTAGAACTGTGCCCTAGTTTCAGCAGGAAGACTTAATTCTTTTCGTAAAGCTGGTACAGTGCTGTGTGTTTTGGATTCAGTGTGAAAATACTGTTGATAACACACTGATGTTATAGTTGTTGCTAAGCAGTGCTTACTCTAAATCAGTCTCCCAGACTCTGCCAGTGAGGAAGTGCACAAGAAGCTGGGAGGGAGCATGGCCAGGACAGCTGATCCACACTGGCCAAAGGGCTATTCCATACCACAGAACATCATTTCCAGTGTATAAACTGGGGGGAGCTGGCCAGGAGGGGTGGATCCCTGCCCAGAGACAGGCTGGGCATCAGTCAGTGGGTGCTGAGCAATTATGTTGTGCATCACTTCTTTCACTTGGGTTATGCTCCTCTCTCTCTCAACTTTTAATTAAAATTATTTTAATTATTATGATTACAATTTTTATTATCTTTCCTTTTGTTTCAATTATTAAACTGTTCTTATCCCAACCCATGAGTTTTAAATTTCCCCCCCCATTCTCCTCCTGCCTGGGGGTTGGGCAGGGAGGAGGGAGGGAGCAGCTGCATGGTATTTAGTTGCCAGCTGGGATCAAACCATGACAAGCTAATGAATTTATTTCTGCATAGCAACCCCCTCCCCTGTAAAGTTTGCAGAGAACGTGGATGAAATCAGCAAATACTGGTCAAGGTAAACAGAGCAGCTCTAGAAGAATTAAATAGCCCTCATTTGTGCTGCCACAGTCACTAATTCAGGCTGAAATAGAAACATCTGCCTCATCACCACTGTTATTTCAGTATTTCCTACAATCTAGGAAACGAGTGGCTACAGATTTTACAGCACATTTTCCACAAAGAAACATATCCAATTAGAGTAGTTAAACAGGACATGAAGATTTGTTATTCCTTGCTCAAACAATCGAGGTGGATAATGTCTTTGTGCCATGAATCCCACCAATGACACCTAAGTTTAGCTTCATGTAGCTTTAAATCAAAGTTTTACATTCCTTCCATAGGCTTATTGATTTGCTTCTTGCTCAAACCCACCAGCAACAGAGCCTGCAATGACTGGGAACAGGAGCAGAAGATTGGCTCTGAGCCCCATGTTGAACACATGGGCTGTTGGAGATCTGCTAGATGAGAAAGAAAACAGAGTAAGACAGCACAGCCAAGAATGGCCAATGTCTGGATTTCACCTCCTACTATTCAAAAGGAGACAGCAAAGCCAACGTTGGGTACTAGAAAGGAGAAACAATAGTGATGTCCAGCCCTGTTCTCAACTCATCTGGAGTGGGCTCAAAGCTATGGAAAGGCAGCACCCCTTGTTAGGAAGTGCCAGGGATGCCTATGAGACATGGGAGTGACTTTGTTCAGCTCTGTATTGTCATTGGCAAAAATCAGCTGTAGCTGCCTTTGGACTGTGGAGTTACCTGGATGACGGATTCCCATTGCTGCCTTACAAAACCACAAAAGAACAGTGGCAGGCAGCTGTTGCTTATGCTCCCTAGTGAGCTCAGTGAATCACAGGCTGGGAAACTGCCGCTAAACCCAGTCAAACAAATCCCCACCCTACACTTCTCTGAGAATTTGCTGCTTTTCTACAGATTACAAGTGAATTTTCACCCCTGAAATTCTTACTGCTAAAAAAATAAAATAAAAACAAACCCACAAAACATTTAGAACCATGAAATGAAAGATATTTTCAAGAGATTTGGCATTTGATCTGAAGTAGGATCAAACATGCCCACAGCATCTTGACCAGAATCTACCTGATGATTCATTATGGCTATACTTACTTTTGAATTTCAAGAAATACTATATCTGCTTCCCTCCGATGCAGTCTCCTGGGTTCTTAGTACACTTTTATTTTCTTCTTCACTGGAATAAATACATAAGCATTTAGGCAAACTGCCTGAAAGACTGCATCTCTCAGATCCCTAAGACTGTTAAACAGAGTCCTGACTTCTGTCAAGTCTCCCACCTCTGTCCTGCTCTTCCTGACATGTCTTCCTGAGGGCATGAACACCTGCACTTCAGAAACAATCCCACATTAGCTTAGCTTCCAAGTCATACTTACATTTTGATAGTTACCATCTTTCTTAGAACTTCCTCTATGTTCTGTAGTAAATCCGCCCTAACATAGTTTAAGAATTCATTCTCCATCCTTCCACTTCAGCAGTTAAAGACCACTTCCTTAACTAGTATGCAAGTAAACAAAAACTGTCATAATCTCTGTTGCAACAGGGTCTTTCGGATCATTATCCCATTACTGTAAGACATATACAGTATGCTCAATTTAACCTGCTGTGTTACTGTGGCCAGCTGGTAAAAGGAACAAAAGAAAACAGATCAAATCCATGAATTGGAGGTAAACAATACAAGATAGTTTTAGTGACATTCATCTTTTTAAGCAAGCACGCTGTGTGATTCTAAGGATTGTTTCCTTGTAGTGCTTCCACTGGTTTCTTTTCCCAGAAAAGCCCTATGGAAGAAGGTAAGATGCGGTGACAGGGTAACCACTCAAAGATGTGCAACATGACCATTGTGGATCCAGCTATTTGAAGTATTAAAATGAAAGATATATTTAAGGAAAGAAACAAACAGTGCTTTGAATCACTATACTTTATTAATACTTCAGAAACATCAGATCCTACAGTGGTGAGTTCTTATCCCCACCTGTTTCCAATCACTGCTTTGAAACACTTTCTTGCAATATGCAAATAGATACATGAGGCACTGTGTGAATACAAAAGTGACAATACAAAAAATCCCAATTAAACCTCATGCAATACATACATATATAAAAAAATATGGCAATGTAGCATAATACACACAAGCACTATTAGAACAATCCATGTAAATGGAAGTACAATATGCATAGCATTTAATGATCAGTGACAACAGGGTTCTGACCTGCGCATAAAACCAGTCAGTTTAAATAAGTTTTAAGAGACTAGATAACTGGTTAAGCCACAGCTTATAAAACCTGCTGTACTGCAGCTTTTCTGCTCAGAGTCACAAGTGCAGATTAGCATACAAAATAAATAAGGACTATGATTCTACAACACCTGGCTAACAGCTCCTATTTCAGAGCCCCTGGCCCTCTTACTTTCATTCAAGGTTCGTTAACCAACACAGTGGCAAGAAATGTGCCTAAAGCAACAGCTCTGCTTTTGTACTATTTTAATACTGATAAGAACATATATTTTTTAAGTCAGCAGGAGTAGTCACAGAGGTCTAACTTACCACTACGTAAGCACAGGACTGACATTACCTTACAGAGCAGCCCCTGAAGAATGACACTGACTGAAGGGCCGACGAGCCGTGGGACGTGCTCTGTTACCAGCCTGTCTGCTTGGCCAGCTGGGGTGAGAGAGAGAGAGCTGAGGAGGTGAAGGAAGTCAGAAAGCTTTTCCCCCACTCTAAACAGTGCAAATGTTTGAAAACAATCTGCAGGAACAAGGAAATACAGAGACAAGAATGTTTCTGAAGTCCTGTAATCAGGATGAGAACTACTGTTACCTGAAATAAGCTTAAGTATTCCTATGGAGTAACATGCAAATAACAGAATTTTCTTTTTAGACATCCAATACTGGTCCATGCCAAAGACACAACAGCTATTGTAGTCTCTTATCTTCCTAGCTGACATAGCACTGTTTACACTCTGGTTGGTGTTGCAGGCCTCCAAAAATCGGACCACGTTCCCTATGGACACAGATGAAATTAAAATTATAAAATGGCAACTAAACTAACTTAACAGCTAACAGACTTTACAGTCCAAGAAGCACCATGGTAGTGAGAGGGGCTGGGGTATGACAATGTAAAAGGACATAAAAGATAGAAGAGAGAAAATTGGGAAGAGAATAAGGAGACAGAGCAGAACAGACTTTCAGAAGAGGAAGTTGAAAGTAGTTGAAGTCATTAAGTTAAAAGTACTTAGAGTTAAAACTTAATACTGACAAAAAAGAGGCCAGTATAAACTTTTAACCCACAATAAAACAAATATCTTGCTATTATTAAACAAGGTGAAAGGAAAAAAAAAAGATTAAAAGAAAGAAAAAGGGGGGAAAAAAAGCAGCATTAATCATCCAATATTCAGCAGAATACCTTTTAACAAAGTTCAAAAGGGCAGCATGAAAAAAAGGAAATCACAGTATTTTATTGCCCTGAGAAACTCCCCATAGGATCAGTCTAGTTCCCTAGCTATTATCTCTTTATCCTTGGACATCCAAAAAGAACTATCATTGCTTAGATAAAAGGATAAATAGTTCCTAAAGGGAATGATGGTCACACCTTCCAGCT